TATATTTTACATTTTATGTATATATAACTGGCATATATATATAATTTTGACACAAATCAGAGTTATGCTATAAATACTGTTTTTTACCTTCCTTTATTCACTGCACAATCTTTTAGAAATATTTACATTTATATGTAAATTCAATGTGATTTGATTTAAAACAAAGTTTATTTTAGAACTGTTTCAGATACACAGAAAAAATTGTGAAGACAGCTCTGGCTGGTCTGGCTCAGTGGATTGAGTGCCAGCCTGCAAACCAAAGGGTTGCCAGACAATCCCCAGTCAGGGCACACGCCTGGATCACGGGCCAGGGCCCCAGTAGGGGGTGTGTGAGAGGCAACCACACACTGATGTTTCCCTCCCTTCCGCTCTCTAAAAATAAATAAAATCTTTTTTTAAAAAATCTATAAGTCTATAACCTTAAAAAAAAAAATTGTGAAGATGATAGAGAATTCCCATATATCTCATACCCAGTTCACCTGTTATTATATCACATCTGATAGGCAGGGAGAGAAGAAGTAAGAAAGAACAACAAATATAGCTTCAGGGAGTGGGAGAGCGTTTTGTCTTGTCTTGTCACTTCCCTTCAAAGTCCCCGGCATCCCAAGACACCAGGTAGAAGCCCTGCTTATGGGCTATTCTTTCATGATATTCACTGGTTCCAGCCAAGTGAATGTCCAATCAGTTTCCCAATATCAAAACCATGCTTTCCCACAGCAAGCCTCAAATGTTAGCATCAGTCAGCACATCGCACCTCGAAGATGTATATGCTAAGCTTAGATCCAACACATCCAAAAGAGGAGCACATGCCTCCCACCTGTGCTTGCAGGGCCCTGTCTCCTCCCGGGTGACAGAGGCCTCCGGGAGCCTGGAACTCTCCCGGCCCACATAGGTCTGCTCCACTCAGGATATCCTCTACACAGAGCTGATGAATTTATTGTAACTAAGTTATCAGTAACTGGTAGTTGCCATTGCATTCAGTATGAAATATGTACCCATTAAAGGAGAAAAAAACAAACCCTTATCCTAAAGGTATAAATCTCTAAAGGGAGAGAGTTCAGCTATTATGATCCAAGAGAGCAGAGGAAATACACACACACACACACACACACACACACACACACGAGATACGCACGCCATTCCCATCCCATCACATAGGTAGAAGTGCCCCGTTTACACCAAGGGAGCCCTGGACAGGGGAGCAAGCCCGTGCCTTGGACGGGCCAGAACATCAGACTCCACGAAACACTGTCCAGCAGGAGGAAACTGCTTATTCACGCCGCACAGGGGATGAGCTCAACGTGGCTGGAAGCAAGGGGCTTCCGTAATGCAGAGAAATCAAACTGCTCATTCTGGACATGAGAATATACAAAGAACAAAAATGCCTGACTCCACAAAAGACACCGTCTGGGACGTGTTTCTTGTCACAGCCACCTGCTTTTTCATTAGGATTCTGGGTTCTGTCTCATTAAACAGAAGGGTTGATTCAGTTGGGTCCATCTAATTATTCTTATTAAAATATGTAACCATAATATTTTAATTGTAAATTAAAGTTGCATGCATGAATGAATCTGAATTCATTTTAATTTTACAATGGCCCAATGCCAAGGCCATTTTTATGGGGAAGATCCATCAGCTCGGATACTGCTCTCCTGGGAATTCAAACCCATGTGCAAATGGAACATGTTTAACTAACAAGAGAGACTCGCACTCCCTGTTCTCCTCTCTCTAGATTTATTACAGTAATAAAGCTATTTTAACAAGAGAGACTGCATTTGGTTCCACACCCCTCAAATCTTAAAAAAAAAAAATTACCAAACTTCTGGGTTGGCACTACCAGTTAGAACAGAGATGTCACTCTTGGGCTATTTGAATCTTGAACCAGGATGGTAACTAGCTCTCAATTCATGTGCCAGCCTCATGATTAATTAGTACTGTCTGCCATGGGCGCATAAGCTTACACACACCGCCCCCTTGGTCTAGATTCTAGAACAGCCAGTGCTATTGCATTCAGCCCTTCCATATGCAGTTAGGTGGGACCCCAATTACTGTCCACTAAACAATTATTTAAAGCCTCAGCCACAAGCGCCTCCACTTCTACCTGGAAACTCGGACAGGGAGCTGCTGGGGTAGGCACTGAGACAAAAATACCTTTCACAATGGAGGCTTTAGAAAAGCCTCCTCTGGGCTTCTAAGCTGAGGCCTGAGGGTAAGGAGTTAGTCAGACAACTGCGGTGCGAAGGCTGGGGGTAGAAAGATGGATCCAGGCAGTGGGGAAAGCATTTGTGAGGCCCTGGGGTGCAGACGGCAGAGCAGTCAAGACTCAGAAGTCAGTTCCAAAGTGAAGAGTGAGAAGGGTGTGGGGGTTGAGGGCGGGACAGAAGGGGGACCTGGAGAGGGACCCAGGGCCGGAGCTTAAAGGGCTTCAAGGAGCTTCACTGAGGAGTCCGACTTTGTTCCAGGAACAATGCATTAGAAGCCAGATCACTCTGGCCACAGGTAGAAAATGGACTGATATGTGGTGAACAGCATATTACAGTATATCCAGAATCTGGCCTTGCGGGGCTACTTCTTGCGGAGAGGCTAAAGTAGATTTCTGAATATTAGACCCCTTTCTCCCTATAGTATTTTTTCCTTTTCGGCCGAAGCACTCTCCAGTTTACAATTTCTTCATGTTACAATATTATTACATAGTTATTGATAATAAAGGTGAATAAAATGTTTTCTTTATGCCATTGGTTAAAAGTCGTGTCTAGTTTTTATAATTAAAATGAGTTTATAATAAAAATCAAGTGATTAAACCAACCCAGAAGAAAAGAATTCTTCTAATTGGAAAAAAAGCCTTCGTGGCTTTCGCTGGTAGCTTTCTCGCAAGAGAGCAGCTTTTAAAACGCGCCCCTGGAGTAGCGCTGGGGGCCGGCAGGAGCCCGCCCCTCGGCACAGCCCACCTGGCCGTCAGGCACATGCAGGCGTGCAGTGCAGACTCCACCTCACCCAAAGGGAGGCCTGGCCTGCGCCCTCGGCTCCTAGGACGTGCCCTCTAGGCCTCTGCAATGTCCTGCCTGAAAGGAGCATCTTTGTTCGCCTGGGCTCTGGCCCCTGGACAGTCTAACAGCATGAACATGGTGGGGGCTCAGGGCCACACTGTACCAGCTGTGTCCTCTAAAGGAACTGGAAACTGAAGGTGTTAACTTGACCCCAGAAGGAGTGGAGGCTAAAGGTCAGCCACGCTGTAAGCACTGAGCCCCAGTAAAAACTCTGGACACCAGGGCTTGGTGACCGATCCTGGGAAGGCGACTCCCTAAGGGGAGGATGACCAGAGCTCCACATTTGGACCCCTCCCTAACTTTGCCTCATGTGTCTCTTTCTTCGACTGTTCTAACTGGTATCTTTTTCCCTATAAAAAATAAACGTAACTGTGAGTATAATAGCTCTCGGTGAATTCCGTAAGGTTTTCTCATGAATTATCAAACTGAGCATGTTTGGTATCATGCAATGGTATCAGCAATGAGGGCAGTCAAGGACAGACTTGCAGTTTGGCCAGCCTCACAGAGAAGGCGCTTCCGGGAGCCAGCAGCTCGGTCCCGGCATTGTTTAACAGAGGGACAGGGGAAAAATATTGGGTCTTGGTACTGTGTGGGGTTACCCCTGGAGTGGGGGCGGGGGAGATGGGGGCTGACAGGAAGCGGCACAAGGTACCTTCTGGGGTGGTAAAGCCATCTATACCTTGATCGAAGTGGTGGTTACACAGGTAATAAACATAAGAAAAATCCACTGAGTCGTACACAGGGCATTTTATGCATTTTACTGTACACGTGTTATACCCAAGTTCAAAAAGTTAAAAAAATAGACAGAAACACTGCCTTTGAAAAAGGGGGGAGGTCAGCCTGAAATTAAAGGGTGAAGCGGGCTGGACTGCTGAGGAGAACCTGAACCCACAGGCAGGGCTGATGTGAGATCTAGCAAAGAAGTTTGTGGAAGGATTCTCTGAAATGGATAGGTTCTGTTATTGTTGTTGTTGTTATAGTATTGATTTGAGAGAGAGAGAGGAACTTTGATTTGTTGTTCCACCTATCGATGCATTCATTGTTTGATTCTCGTACGTGCCCTGACCGAGGACCAAACCTGCAACCTTGGCATATTGAGACAGCACTCTAACCAAATAAGCTGCCCGGCCAGAGCTGAAATGGATTGTTGAGTGCTTTAAATTTGGACAAGGTGAACCAAGGACCATGTGGTCATGTGACTCTGTGTGTGTGTGTGTGTGTGTGTGTGTGTGTGTGTGTGTGTGTGAGTGAGTCCACATGCTCCCTAAAAAGCCTGGGTACGACCATTCCATTTCATTACGGTCACCTAGTGACGATGCGCATGGTACAACAGTAGGCCGGCAGGACAAACAGGTACTTCTGGGTGGCGGCCACTCAGCGAAGGATTGATATGGTGGTGGTCTACCCTCCTCCCAGTCAGACAGAAGCTCATCAGGCTGGGATTGGAGGCCTGAGAGGTCAGGCTGGGTTTGGGAAGGGACAGCTTCCCTGTTTATGGGACACCAAGCCAAGAGATCCAAGAGACGACAAGCAGGGCAAAACTGAAAGTAATGGCAGATGGTTGCCCTGGGCTGTTACTAGAGATGTAGGAAGTTGGTAATGAGGCAACTCTGTAGAAAACCAAGAAAGCAGGCCAGAGGGAAACTGTTTTAAGCAAAGGGCAGGAGACAGAGTCTGGGAGAATTCTGAGTCATGGAAAAAGATACTTTTATAAGCAGTGCGGGGGAGAGAGCTGAGAAACAGCTCAGTCATTGGAACCAACAATGAGGGGCCCGGGATGCACCAACGCTAGGGAACAGGGCAGTGGGTGTTCTGTTCAGTCATCAGTCCCCCTCGAGGGAGCCCTTCAGTATCTTGTCTCTCTACCACCAATCTATGGTCAGTGAATGAACAACTAACCTGCAGTGGCTCAAAATGCACTGATTATTTACTTTTGGATTTGGGATGGCATACCTCTTTCTGCTGTTCTGGAAACATCTTCAGCACAGGACAAGATCAATCTGAAAAAAAAAGATACCAGAACTCAGTGACATGGATCCTGAAGCACATAAGCCTCTCATGACTTCCCACCCCAATCTCCCCAGAGAGCCTGGCCACCCACCACCCCGGCAGGTAAACCTCTGCTGCTCCCTCCCTCCTGCCCGCTGCCGACTGGACCGAAGTGAGCATGGACCGGTCCACACTGGGCGTGGGGAGTTTGGGACACGGCAAGTCCAAGGCAGTTGGATGATGACAGGCTCTCAAACTGGAAGGCCATTCAGAGCCAGGCTGGAGACATGGCCTTGGTGACTCAGGAGGCTAGAGATGCGCAGGGGCAGAGGGGCCCTGAGGGGCGGCGGGGATGCCGGTTGGCAGTGAGTTGGAGAGAATGGAAAAGATGGCCGGCGAGAGCCACCACTGAGAGCAGCCTGGCAGTTTCACTGCAACCGGGGCTTTCAAGGGACAGGTCATTCCCATGGCATTTAAACTACTCCAGTGTTCAGATGACAGATGGTGCGGCCCCGAGGGGGACAAAGGTCTTACAAACCCACAGCAAAGGCATATCCTTATAGACAAAATGAGCAAAGCTTATCAATAAGCAAAGATTACCAATTCGCAAAACAAAAACCAAAAAAGGTCACACTCAACAACCAAAAAACAGAAACAACCTGATTTAAAAATGGGCAAAGAACTTGAACAAACATTTCTCCAAAGATAATATATAAATGGCCAAAAAGTGTATGAAAAGATACTCAATATCACTAATCATTAGGGAAATGCAAATCAAATCCACAATGAGTTATCACTTCACATTCATTAGGATGGTATCTATTTTAAAAAAAAAAGCAGGATATGGAGAAATTGGAACATTTGCACCTTTGCACTGGTGGGAATGTACAATGGTACAGCGGCTGTGGAAAAGTGTGTAGGTTCCTCAAAAACTTAAAAATAGTATTACCATATAATCTAGTAATCCCACTTCTGGATATATATCCAAAAATATTAAAAGCAGGATCTCAAAGAGATATTAGCACCCCCATATTCACGCAGCATTATTCATGACAGCCAAGAGGTGGAAGCAACCCAAGTGTCCAGAGACAAATGAAGGGATAAGCAAAATGTGGTGTGTATGTAAAGTGGGATATTATTCAGCCTTTAAAAGGAAGGAAATTTCAATATATTCTACAACATGGATGAACCTTGAAGATGTTACACTAAGTGAAATAAGCCAGACAACAGACAAATACTTTGTGATTCTACTTACTTAGATGAGGTTTCTAGTCAAATTCATAGGAACAGAAAGTAGAATGGTGGTTGCCAGGTGGTGTGGGAGGGGGAAGTGCAGAATTCTTATTTAGTGGGTACAGAGTCTCAGTTTTGCCAAATGAAAACGATCTGGAAATCTGTTAATACTTAATACTATTAAACTGTACACTTAAAATGAGCAAGGAGGTAAATTTTATGTTTCTTACCACAATTAAAAATAAAGTTTTTGAAAAAAGGTCAATAGTGTATTTTAAATGTTTGATCTTCCTATAAACAAAAGTGCAAATAAAAACAAGATGCTGTGCAAGGGATCACAAGAAATGGGACTGAATGCTGCTGGGAGGGATGTGAGCTCTTTCCCTATTTCTGAAAGACAATTTGGCCATATGTTTTAAAAAGCATTGAAAAAATTTGACTTTGATGCAATTATTCCACACTGGGAACTCAACCTAAAAAAATCAGTCAGACATATGCAAAAGTTGTTTGCTTTTTTTTAATCAAATAAAATGGAAACCTAAATGTCTATAAGTAGTAGATTAGAAAAAATAAATTATGGTAGAACTGCGTAATGGAACACCTTGTAGCAAATTATGTTATAGAAGAATATTAAATAATAGGGACCATTCAAGAAGTATTGTGATTTTTTAAAGTATGTTTTCATTCTTACTTATTTAAGAACTGGAGCCCACCCACGACAAGTTAACAGCAATTATTTCTGAATGGAGGGAGGTTGACTGGTGCTTACTTCCTTCTTTTCTAATTTTTCCAAAAGTTTACAATGCATTTGTTATTTTTAAAGTTACAAAACCATATACTTTGTATAAGAAGGCAAAACTTGAAGTACTCCATTACTTTTATTATTCTTTCCTCCAAAAAACAAATAGCTAAGTTAATTTCACTTTCCATTTTTGGTTCATTTCCTCCCACAATGTTGAACAATTTTTCTATTTACATAAAAAAAAAATCACTGACTCCTTACTTTCATCTCATAAGGATATGCCATCGGCAGTTATTTTAAATTCAAAACTGAGTTTAGTGCCCGTTTTTCCTGGTCCAGCTCTCAGTATCACCTGGGTCTTTGGCACCGCAGTGGGTGGGTCTGGGGCGGTCTGCGGGAGGAGACATGGCCCTCCCAAATCTCCTCTAAGGGGGAGGTTCTGCTGGAGGGGCAGCTCAGCAGTTAGTCCGCCTTTGTAACACCGTCCCCGGGCACAGGTAACAGCATCGGTGATGGGCATCGGACTCCAGGAAAGCCAATCCACCAGTCAGTAAGGTGCCTAAGGCGTGGCCTGGCACAGAGAGAAGAAAGGGATGGCCACCCGCTGCCTCCCGGTGTTTGGGCTGGGAAACACCGTGACCCTCAGCAGTGTCGGGAGCCTGAGCTTAGGAAGTGATGTACAAGAAACTGGACAGATAAAGATGTCACATCTGGCATTCTGGAGGAACCAGAGCTTATACTTAAACAGAAGCCACGACGTAGATAAAAGTTCTCACAAGATAGTAAAGACGCTCAGCACCAGAAAAGCTGTATTGGGAGCCAGCTTCAGGGCTGGTGTCCGCAGGGTGGCCTAGGGCCCCCGCCAGGGTCCCGAGTTCTTCGTTCCCCAGCGGCTTAAGGGCCCACTGTCTCCTGGGTTCCCCTGCACAGTGTCTTTGCAATGAGCACCGCTTTACTCAAGGAAGCTTGAGGGAGACCCCAATGTGTACAATCAAAAGAATTCAACCCAAAAGAAAAAAGAGCCGCAGCGAAACATGGAAACTGAACTGCAGTGGGCAGCCATGCCTCCCGGGGGCCAGCAGAAAGTGCGGAACCATCTGCGATCCAGGCCCACGTGGCTCTCCCTCAGTCTGGTCTCCAGACCTTAAAAAAGCAGACCAAAATGGGAAAACAAGCAGAGGGCTGAAATTCAGTTAAATTTGGAAAAACAGTAAAATTACCATTTAAGATTTTCCAGCATTTATCAAAAAAATATATATGTATAAAGAGGTTCAGCAGTCTAAGAAAATACTGGTTCATAGCGCCCGAAACAATGAAGCGTGCTAATCTCTGCAACATAATCTCTGCAATAAGTTCCATTTATGGCCATGAATATAATTGTTAGGCTAAATTTAAGGTTTAAAATACAGGAAGAAGGAAAAAATATGCTACAGAATTCTGACCTCACAACAATTTTGGTGGCATTTAGGAAAAGTGCTCCCTTAGACTTATAGATGTTCTAGACATATTGGCATGTGTGTGCTGACCCTGAATTCCACCTCCCTTCGTACACACACTAAGGAGAGCCACAGGCAGGGGGCGAAACATGACGGAATAAACAGAAATTGAGGAAATGAGCTATAGAAAGCAGGCGTATGTGAGGGAAGTAACCACTAGGCCAGCCAGGCAGATAATACTGAACTTGCTAACTGTGACATCCTCTCTCAAAACGACCCTAACCTCCCAAATCAAACCTAAAAATATGTTCCACTCTTCCCAAATGGTCTCCTTCCTTTTTGATGCTACTAAAGTTCTCCAGATTAGTGATTCATCTGGGCTACTCATTTTCCTCTTTTAGAAAAGCAGATAAATCTCAGACGTTAGGGGAGGGTTATTACTAATTTAAACATTAATGTGAATTAATCCAATCAAATTGTGTTCGCTATCTACCTTCAGCTGCTCACTCCCCTCCCCAAACCCACCATCACCACCACGTGGAGTTTTGATTAGAATGAGAGAAAGAGGAAACCACTGATACTTGGATGCATGGATTTCTTGGCAGCCCTATGTGTCCCTCAGTGCCTTGTCACAGGATCATGAAAGACCTGAGAACACAGCCTGCTGGAGAACAGCCGAAGACTCCCTGCTCTTCTCTCCTGCCAACAATTGTAGATAGTTTTTCAACTCTCTGTTCACTCTACCTATTTACATAAGAGAACTTCGCAGAAGTACTGACATGACTTCCCATCAAAATACTACCTGAAGAATGGCATGAAAAGAATACCTAGAATTAAATTTCACAAAAGAAGTGCGAAACATATACTCTGATAACTACACAACATTGTGGAAAGAAATTAAAGCTCTAAATAAATGGAACAACATCCTATGTTCATGGATCACAAGACTTATTTGTTGGGATGGCAACTCTCCCCAAACTGATCTACAGACTCAACACAATCTCTACCAGAATCCCAGCTGACCTCTTTGTACAGGTTGACAAGCTGACTCTAAAATTTGTATCTTCCTGCAAGTAACCCAAAATAGCCAAAACAATCCTGAAAAAGAAGAACACAGTATGACTCCCACTTCTTGATTTTAAAACTTACCATAAAGCAACAATACTCAAGACAGTGTGCAACTGTCACAGAGAAACAAATAGATCAATAGAATAGAATGAGAGTCCAGAAATAAACTAATACCTCTATGGTCAACTGATCTTCAACGAGGGTGCCAAAACCATTCAATGGGAAAAGGATGGTCTTTTCAATAAATGGTGCTGGGACAAGTGAATAGCTACATGCAAAAGAATGAAGTTGGACACCTACCTTTTACCATAATATAAAAATTAACTCAAAATGGATCAAATACCTAAACATAAGAACAGAAACAGTGAAACTCTTAGAAGAAAACAGAGGTAAATCTTCATGACCTTGTATTTAGCAAACAATTCTTAGGCATGAATACTAAAAGCATAAGCAACTAAAGAAAAATAGATAAATTAGACTTCATGAAAATTAAAAGCTTTTCTGTTTCAAAGAACACCATCAAGAGTGTAAA